ACATCATTCCACCTCAGGTAAGTTGCTGTGTCTGTGTTCTGGTGGTGTTTTATTTTCCAGACTTCCCTGAGAAGTCTCTCAGTGGTGTGTTAGAAATGCCAGTAGCATCTCGGAAATAAAAATCAATTTATATGCAGGTCAAAAGTAATTCTAGACCCTTCGTTTTAGACCAAGATTGAATTCAGCAGAAAAACCAAGGCAGCTTTATAATGTTTATTGGAGCCAACTGGTGCCACAGAGTCCTCTGCACTGAAGGATGGCGGAATCGCTTTCTCCTCCTCATGACCTGTGGGTTTTGAGCACAGAGCTCCACCGTTCTGTAGTTTATACGGATGTGATTAAGTTGATTTAATTCTGGTGTCTGCTGTGTAGCTACCTAGGTCTGAGCTAATTGTCGTAGCTTTCCTTCAGAGCTGATGGGAACAAATGTTTTTGGCGTATGAGTCGGTGTATGATGTAGTACCATCATCTAATCTAATAAAGTATTAAATTTGCCTCCAGCAAATGTGTGTAGAAGACACATGTGGTTAAAAACGATAAACATCTAGTGTTTTATTAGCAGATACTTTTATATGGTTTCCCTTGACAGAAGAGGAAAGATGTGTTTATTCGTGTGGAGAACGGCCGCTTCTCACTTCTTAATACGTTTTGAAGTGATTCCTTTGAAGTCTTAGCCGAATGCCTTCGTCTGGAATGATAAACTGTTCCTCACACTAGAATTCAAAATGAAGCTTTTGTTTGTTTAAAACATGGGCTTTCCACTGCCTGGCATAAAGCCAGCTTTGTCCCTGCCTCCAGATAGCAGAAAAATGATTAACAGCTTTTACAAACTTGCTGAAGAGCCTCTGGCTGGGAGCAAATATCTGAAAAATCCAGCCTGGGGGCAGATTTTTTTTTTTTTTTAAATTAATAACTTGGAAACAATGCCGTAAAATTAACCTGCGTGGAATTTTATTGAAACTGCACCACGTAAAGGTGTCCCTGTGCTCAGCGTGTATTGATGCTAGCAGCAATTTGTTCGGCTGCTGCATTTACTAGTCCTGGGAGGAACCACCTGAGGTGTGACCTCTGTGTTGTAGTGTTATCACAATGATCCCACAGCCTGAGCCCTCAAACTCTGTGTTTGTGAAATTAAGTAGCCAGTAAGGGCAATGTGGGCCAGTGTTGACGTGAGTGCTGCTGTAACAAGTTATGAAGATGTATTAGAAGCCAAAATGGGTTGTGTTTGGCACATGAGCTTTCTACATCATGGGGATATCTGTATCGTGTGAGTTCTGGCATCGTGAGTGTGGAGGGAGGGGGGAGATAAAGCTTTTCACACCTCTGTCTTATGTGAACAGGAGCCAGAAATACCTGAAGGTCAGGAAGAAAAGAAGAAAGATTCCAAGAAGCCAAAATCAAAGCTGCTCGAAAGGAGGTCTACCAGAACCCGAAAGTGCATAAGCTACAGGTCGGCAGCTTGTTTAAATAACTTGTAAAACAAAAATAAAATCATACTGTCATTTTTTTTCTCAAGCAACCCACCGCTTCTCATGCACACTTTTGTATTTAAAAGAGGGACCCAACTCAAGTGTCTTTGTTCTTCCCTCTGAACACCGGATATGCTCGATGGTTGTAAAAGCACACGAGGTGGTACAGTGAGGGGGTGATGCATAAACACAAATAAAATGTGTATGGGACTTTGTTCAGGAATAGTGGAGGAGGTTTTGGTGTTCCTGCAGTTTCTGTAGTAAGTTAATTGTACCTCTCCTCTCTGTAGAAAGGGAGACTTGCGCTGTGTCTGAAGGCTTCAAATTCCTCTCTTTCTTTTCTGACCCCTTCTTTGCATAAAAGGGGCGTGAAACTTAAAATGCAGTTATGAGACAGTATGTCTAAAAATGGTCTGTAACTCTTTAGAGAAACTGTGATAAAAATGCAATTAGTAAATTAAAATTCAAAGATATTTATACTCTGTGCATTCCGAAAGTAGAACAGGTCACTAAAGTTTCCAAAATTCAGCATGATCTTAGTGTTATCTTTTGTTCTCAGTGCATTACCAAGGTGTTTTATAAACTGTTTTCTAGATAATACCTTGAGATGCCCAGTACCTTTTTTGGGATTAGAGAAGAATGCGGCTGCCTGAGAGCTTGTGTTTTGTCCCAGCTGCATTAGGAATGTAAAAAAAAAAACCCAAACAACTATTGCCTTTCCTCCTGCTCTGTGTAGAACTTTATCATCAAAAAATTAGAACATTGCAACTTTTAAAACCTTGCAACAATAACCATGATTAAACTAATAGTCAGGCGTGGCGTTTGTATATGCTGAGTTTTCCAGCCTGTTCGGAAAACTCAGTCTGACCTTGCTTAGCTGCTGATTTTCGGTAACTTTTTAAATTAACAGCAGAAGCCAGACTAACGAAAATGCCATTGCTGCTTTGGGAAATGAGGTATTTGTGTAAGGAACGCTATGCCACAGCCAAGGTTATATAGATTTGCTGCTATGTTCATGACAGATCAGACAGCATCTGACCAGGAGTGAAAAAAAACCCTTGCCTGTAGGATATCTGGCATGCCTTCAGCAAAAAAAAGACACATGTTGTGCAAAGACAGTAATTTTTTTTGGAAATAGTGTTTTGTATAATGTTGTTCTGGAAAAATCAATCTTCTGATACAAAATGATAGAGTCTTTCTTACAGACTCCATCGTACACGTAACTTTGAGCCGGTGAAAATATCACATGTGTGACTTCCAATTTGTACGTCCGCAGCGAGTTCCTACTGGTGTCGCTGGGAATTGTGTAGGCCTTCCTTCAGCTGGGGAAAACAAATGCCAAACGTTTGATTCCGCTTCCATTTTAAAGAGGTTGTGGGGTTTTTTTAGTGGGGTGAAGGGAAAATAGTGTTTGAGTAATGTGGAACTAATCTTATTGATGGCATAATTCCAAAGTCGCTTCCTTGCTGTGTAACGATCCTTTTTTAGGGGTTTTGAATTCATAACTGAAGAAACAAACCGAAGTCATCTCTGTGAAAGGGCTGGATCCCTTTTCCCCCGTTTGCTGTTCCCTTTCCATGAGCTACTCAGCGTGCAGAGATGTAAAAGCTGCTGCAGGACAAGCCTGCTCAAATATTTTGCTTTTCTTTGTGCTATTTATGGAACACGACTTATAGCTTAGATAAATATATGTATATCTGTCTTTACTGTGTACAGTGTATTTTATCTGTTCAGCTTAGGGTGTTGCAGATCCATAAAGTATCGTTACCATGAGCTTTAAGAGGAGAAAGAAGCTCTCTGAAATAAGTTTTGAAGGAAAATTTAGACAGGATAAATAATTTTACTTCGACTTTAATAGATGCTTTTCAGAAAGTCTGTTTTGCGTACTGGTAGTGCACATACCATCTCATGAAAGGTGTGGAAAAAATTATTAATGCTTTGTGTGAAAAATGCCACTGATACCATACTTGAAGAATTCTCAAATTATATGTTCTTAAATTCAGTGGTATATCATGTAAAATGGAAGTGTTTTTCTGTTCACATAAATCGATAGTAAGACAGCCAGGCAATGATAAATAATTGTTTCCAAAGTAGAAATAAGAAACACATCTTTTAAAAAAAACTTGCTATTTTATCCTCAATCCGGCCCATTATCTTTGTTAATTTATTACCTATCCAGCCCGTTGTCTGTGCAGTGTGATTTCTAACAGCAGTTTTAGATTTCGAGGTATGTTTTTATACTATAATTTAATTAAGGTTTGCTTCAAGGTGGTTAATGACAGCTGTTACTTTTAGGTTCGATGAATTTGATGAGGCAATTGATGAGGCAATTGAAGATGACATCAAGGAGGCTGATGGAGGAGGTATGTTTCTGATGTTATTTGGTTTTCATTGCAATGCTGATAAGATAAAACCAAATTTATTTTGATATGAGAAGCAACAAATATCATCCTCTCCCTTAAACTTTGTAGTTCATGGGTTTTACTGCTCTATTTTTGGAATCAAACTCAATAGTTTCCCTTGGGAACGGCCATCCCAGGCTGCCAAAAGATGCCGAAAAGTATTTGGTCTTGATAGATAAATTCATCTTGTCCATGTTTTGATATATGAGGACAACAAATAACCATGATAAGGAAAGTCTTAAAATGAATTTGCTAAGTTTTGGGCTTGAGACTGGAATGGCAGCTAGTGCTGTTGATGTTTGTTCCCTGTGAAAACTGGGCTCGTAGATTGATCCTAAGATGGACCCTCTAAAGACTGGCTCTACAAAGTCATCTTAAAAATATTAACCCAGACCCGTAAGCACTTCTCAGTTGTACGTGAATAAAGTGAAATTATGTTCTTCGTTGCCTCTTAAGGCAACGTTAGGGGACCAAAGGAGAGATCTTCAGCAGTATCTGAGATGTAGATGGATTTGGGCTCCTGCATCACCTTAACTTGTGTGGAGAGAGCTGCCATGAAACGTTCTGCCTCCGGTGCTTGGCCTGCAGGGTGTCCCTAAAGACACTGGTTTTCAGAAGCTCGGTGGGTGTGTACTGGCACTCTGAAAACTGGGTGTCTGTGGGTGTGTAACACGAGACCTGTATAATAAAAACAACTCTCAACAGTAAAATCAGCTTTTCAGAAACTCTGCTCTCTGGCCAAACAGCAACTTTAGCACGTCCATCTCCCAGGAAGGATGTGTTCAGCGTTGGGAAGATGCATTTTCTGATAGTTACCCTACTCGAAAGGCACCACCATGGGTAATCACGTGGGCGGGGTTTGAGTATTGGAAAGCCAACACTCATCCACTGTCTTCCGCTTGGAGCTCAGGATTCCCAGGTGACCCCAGCTGAGGATTTGTTTGTCAGGAACGAGACTCCAGACAGTGTCTTGCACGACAAAAGATTATTCTGCTTTGCAGAAAGTAAACTGAAGCTAGAGACATGGAAGAAAGATACGTGTAAAGTTAAAAAATAAATGTGCTCTTTTCTCCCCCCTTTCTATCCCTGAATCCAGGCATTGGGAGAGGCAAGGACATGTCTAACATCACAGGTCACCGTGGAAAAGACATTTCCACAATCCTAGAGGAAGAAAGGAAAGAAAACAAGCGACCGCAAAGGGCTGCTGCAGCACGACGCAAGAAACGACGGCGACTAAACGACTTGGACAGCGACAGCAATCTGGATGAAGAGGAGAGCGAGGATGAATTCAAGATCAGCGATGGGTAGGTCTGCGATTTAACTCCCAGCGCTCCCAGTGCCCCAAAACGATCACTGGGAGCATGTGCCCAGTGCTGGAGCAGCACTGCAGAGTGCCAGCAAAAGCCCTCCTGGCTTAGGGGAACGTCATCGTACTGGAAAAACTGCACTCTGGATCCAGGTGCTGAAATCATCCGGACTGTGTTTTAAGCAAAACATGTTTTGGAAATGTTACTGGTATGTTTGAGGCTCCAGGCACGGTTCTGTTAGTGAAGGAGCCAGAGGGGCTCAGGTCTCTGACTGATGAGACTGTCTGGCACAAATCCGTAACAAAATCGTGGCTAAAACGAGGACAGCTGTTTCCTTTTGAAAACAGGTCCTCTTTTGTGAGATTTTTCTCGGGCCTGATGGTCACTTAGAAATTGGAGGAGTAAAATGCCCCCATTTAGAGCACACAGAACTTGACCTGCAGATTCTGAAATCGATTCTTGACTTCTGCTCCATAGGAGGTAGAGTTTGAAAACAGCCAAAGAAGTGGTTTATATGCAGAAAACAAATACACGTCATGTGAAGCTTTAAATGCTACATGAGTGTTGCTCTGGCTAACCGAAGCTCTCTTTCCATGGAATTTCTCATTGTTCAGTCTGGGGAATTCCTAAGTTAAAAAAATTAATAGTAATTTTAGATGACCTTTATGCCTCAGTGAAGAAACATAATGGAGCATGAGGTCCAGGCTCTTTATCATCAACATTTAAAGCTCTACACAAGTCACCGAGTCAATTCACTAAGTGTGCGAATAATCTGTACATCAGAGATGCAAATTTTGAGCTTTGTTTTTCACCTGCGACCACGCTGAGGACATCTCAGTGGCACCCTGAATAGTTGAGCTAGATGTGCTGGAAGTTTCCAGTCGATCAGTGTAGCTTGCAGAAATCTCACAGAATTAGTTGATCAGTTGAAGGGTGCTCATGTGTTTTCAACTCCATCCTCTGCTGAATGCCTTCTGGATGTTACACTGGGATCTTTAGCCAGCTGGTGGCCAGCTGCAAGGAACTCTGTGCCTTCAGTGTCCAATGGTTTTTAAAAAAGCATTGGCTCACTTGTGAAATGAGGGGAACGTTACAGGCCAACAAGTTTGCGAGATGCGTGTTTCGCATGAGAGCAATAGTTCCATGGTAAGACACGATATCCTAATTCTCAGAAACTGTAGAGCAGTGCTTGGTTGGTGAAGGGGAGGTCAGCTCTGCCAGATCATGGTGGGTGGTGTGTTCCCCTCCGCAGGTGATGCTCATCCATAGAATGGTTTGGGTTGGAAGGGACCTCAATGATCATCTAGTTCCAACCCCCCTGCCATGGGCAGGGACACCCTCCACTACACCAGGTTGCCCAAAGCCTCATCCAACGTGGCCTGGAACACTTCCAGGGATGGGGCAGCCACAACTTCTCTGGGCAACCTGTTCCAGTGCCTCACCACTCTCACAGTGAAAAATTTCTTCCTTCTATCCAATCTAAATCTCCCCTCTTTCAGTTTGAATCCATTGCCCCTTGTCCTATCACTACACGCCCTTGTAAAAAGTCCCTCCCCAGCTTTCCTGTAGGCCCCCTTTAGGTACTCCATAGTTTTTGCTACAGAGATCTTACAAGGCAGCGTACTACAGGAACGCTCTAGAATCTGTCCTGTGTAAATGTCACCTGTAGTCTCAGTTTCACAGTGTTTATATTCACCTGCTGTTCTGATCTGCTGTGTGATGCACTGTAAAGCTGTATCCCAAGTGTACAGCTGAAACCCAACATCAATGATGGAAGTTACTCCCTGTGGATCTTTGCTCTGTGTAGTGATAGGACAAGGGGCAATGGCTTTGAACTGAAAGAGGGGAGATTTGGATTGGATATAAGGAAGAAATTTTTCACCCAGAGGGTGGTGAGGCACCGGAACAGGTTGCCCAGAGAAGTTGTAGATGCCCCATCCCTGGTAGTGTTCCAGGCCAGGCTGGATGAGGCTTTGGGCAACCTGGTGTTGCGGAGGGTTTCCCTGCCCATGGTAGGGGGGTTGGAACTGGATGGTCTTTGAGGTCCCTTCCAACCCAAACCATTCCATGATTCTATGATTACTACAAGATTTATGCATTTTTTTGTGTAAGACAATACTTATTTGGCATATATCTCTCGCGAAATACAAGTACGGTTTGGATCCTTTGTTTCTGATCTCTCTCTCTGTTGTCTGTGTTCTCTCTTTGAACAGATCTCAGGACGAGTTTGTTATATCAGAGGAAAATCTGGACGAGAGTGAAGACGACCCACCATCAAACGAAGACAGCGATTCGGAGTTCTGTGCCCGCATATCCAGGCGACACCTTTCCAGGCCCATGAGGCAAAGCAGGCGGTTACGAAGGAAAACAGTCAAGAAAAAATACTCTGAAGATGACGAAGATGAAGATTCTGAGGACAATTCAAGCAGAGAATCTGGTGAGTATAAGAAGTCGTCTTATGGAGTCCTCTTCTACAAAGACAAGCTGAGAGAGTTGGGGCTGTTCAGCCTGGAGAAGAGAAGGTTCCGGGGTGATCTTATTGCAGCTTACCTAAAGGGGGGGCTACAGGAAAGCTGGAGAGAGACTTTTTACAAGGGCATGGAGTGATAGGACAAGGGGCAATGGATTTAAACTGAAAGAGGGGAGATTTAGGTTAGATATAAGGAAGAAATTTTTCCCTCTGAGGGTGGTGAGGCACTGGCACAGGTTGCCCAGAGAAGTTGTGGCTGCCCCATCCCTGGCAGTGTTCAAGGCCAGGTTGGATGAGGCTTTGGGCAACCTGGTGTAGTGGAGGGTGTCCCTGCCCGTGGCAGGGGGGTTGGAACTAGATGATCTTTGAGGTCCCTTCCAACCCAAACCATTCTATGATTCTATAAGTCTTAAATATATTAAATACTCTGTACTGGAGAGAGGAAGAGTGGAATCTGTTTCCTGTCATGACTGACACTAACTTGTTGGCTTGCTTTGCTCAAGTCAGGCGTCATCTTTGCTGTAAAGCAGTTTGCTGCTTGTGCTGTGAATATTCTGCAGGAAATTGGTGCTTAGAACCAAGTTCTTGGCATTTTAAGTAATAATGTATTTAAATGAGTGCTTGTGCTGTGATGCAAAAGGCCACCTTTGTGGATAGCTTCAGCTACCCCCTACCTTCCTGTTTGGCACATGATTGCAGGGAAGAGAAAGGATGGAGGCAAAAAAAGTACTTCTTCATAGCTACTTTTGAAGACCTTCTGAATACCTTTGAAAAACCTTCTGAAAGACACGTTTTTCCCTCGCTTTGTATGGAAGAAAATGCCTTCAGTTCTTTGTATGGAAGGAAATTCCTTCAGTTGTGTGGCATTCTGTGTTCTCTGGCAGGCTTGAAAGCAAACGGTAATGCCTTGGATTTCTCTCTCTCCTGCCATTATCCTTTTTGATCTTTAGTAACTGAACATTCCTGCGTCGCGGGAGAACATAATACCTCACTTTGTTGTACTTGTCCTTCAACCAGGTCGTGTTCTGTTTGCACAGTTTGAAGTGTGAGAGCTGTAGCTGTGCAATACTGAGAACTTTCTCATGATTAGCACCTTTCTCCTTGCTTCAACTTCACGTGAGACCCAGTCCTAGAAAGTGCCAGATAGATAAGCCACTTATTTTTACTTATTTTTATTGTGAGCTTCAGGTACTAAGTCCACTGGAACCTTGCATTATTACAGCGTGCGTTATCTTTCCAGTGTTTTATCTGTCTCTAGAATGAACGTGTTGGAGTATTTTGCTTTGAGGTACTGGTTTCTTAAAGGAGGGGTCACGCATGGACAGATGAAGATAGTTACATGCACGTCAGACAGTTGCTGTCTCGCTGTCCTGAGTGCATCATTGCACTGGTCTTAAGCTGTTATCCATGAAGATACTGGCAGAAGCCTGAAGAGATGGCTCATCTGTTCTGTAATGCACAGAAGCAACTATTTGTACTCTGGTGGACACACATCTGTGAGAAAATCAGCTGATTCCAGTGTCATTCCGTATATATCTCGGCATATAGTCTTAGCTGTGTGGTTTTCTCTCTTACTCCCACTGTTGTCCCTCAGGATCCTGCTTTAAGCCTGTTTGAGCCAAGGAAATAAGGTACTGCAAGTGGCTTTGTAGTCTCCAGAGATGGAGGTTCTCTCTGAAGGTGGTTTTCGTGTTGACTTGCTCTGATTCTCTCTAATGTTTCAGGAAGTAAAGAGGATGCCACTTTGATCTGTGACTCATGTCAGTCACTAACTTAGGAGCAGTTTGGGACATGTATAGAAATGTATTTGGGATAATTGTTCTGGCACAGCTCAGTGAAAAAGCAGCTCAAGGTGACTCAAGGCTATTTTCAGCTGATGTAAATAAATTTAATTCTTAAGGACAGTAGCTGGTGCAGGAAGAACTGTGAACGATGGTAAGTTTCTTCTGTCCGGTTTCTGTTTCAGGCAAACTTACAATCGACTGAGACTGTTTTTTTTGTTGTTGTTAATTTGAATTCTATAACTCGGATCTTACCTGGAGTTTCATCTTGTCAGTGGCTTTTCATCTACCTGTTCTTAAAAGTGTTCGAGTTAGAATACAATTTATTTAAATTTTAAAACCAGAAAGGACTTTCCAGTGTCAGTGGTAAAGTGCATCATCAACTCCAATTCGGTAAGGTTGTTTCAGCTGTCGGGAACTGTAGAGGAGGCAACTTTGGCAGCAGCAGAGATGAGGGAACAAAAAGACTGGAGGGAAACATTCTTCTGGAGGAGTTTGAGGGAGGTTGGAAAGGGGTTTGTGAGAAGATTTGAAAACCAAGCAATTCTACACTGGTGATGAATGGAGGAACTGGTGCACGAGCCTGGAGCGAGTCAGAGTAACGAGGCATGATGGTTGAGACTCTCCTGTGCTGGAGGAGCGTGTGATTTTATTGGTGCTGGTCTAAGGCTTATCCAAATGGTGCAGTTTTGCTTTAAGGGAATAACACACGTCACCGTTTTCTTCTGTGCAGAGAGTGGGGATTACACGGATTACAGTGACGACGATTACCTGGAAACTCGGAGGAGAAGATCGAGACGGAATCAGAAGAGACAAGTTAATTATAAGGAAGATTCAGAAAGTGATGGCTCACAGAAAAGTGTCCGATACGGGAAGGAGTTAAGAAGAGTTCATAAACGCAGGCTCTCCACGTCGGATAGTGAAGGTAAAATAAACGGTCCACCGTTTGCAGGAGCTGGTGTGTGTCAGCGTTAGCACCCAGAGAAAACTGTGTGTAATTCGGAGATGTCAGAGAATCTCCTTTCTAGAGTTTTGTGATGTTTCTCAAACTGTTTCCTTCTGAAACAGTCTGCTCGTACTTTCTGATGCACTTCTTAAAGTCACTGTTGCCCCTAATCCTGATGTCCAGGTCCGAATTAACTGCTTCTGGCACGGAGTGCTGGCATCACAAAAACTGGCATTGGTGAAACTGTTTCGCCACTTTTCTGTTAAGAGGTCACAAAACTTCATCCCACGAGTCTGGAAAGATTCTCTTTTGTAAGAGAAAGGGTATTTCTTCTGGTGCCCAGTTGTGTTTGTGCTGGGGTCAAGACTCACTCCATCCTGTTCGAAGGCGCTGTGGTAAGGACAGAGGAGACCTGCTCCCAGTAACAGCAGTCACACCGTGACGACTGGTGTGTGTTCTGGTGTGAAATCAGCTTTGCAAAAGTGGCCTCTGGCTTTGGGCGCTTCGCATTCTGGGCGCCCAGCTTGTGAGACCTCGGGTCGGGCTTTCAGAGCCCCATCCAGGTTGCCATGGATGCCAGGCGGCCTCAGGAAAACACCTGCCGAGTGCCTCTGATTTGTAGGTAAGTTTTGGAAGTGCTGGCCTGAGTTCACGGAGCGTTAGTGGCTCCTCTCAGGTGGAGGGAAACAAGAGCGTAACGCAACTGTGTAGTATCTCGAAAACTTGATCCTACACTTGGACACAGCCTGTTGTCACAAGTAGGACGTGTGGGCTCTCTGCCGAGAATCTGCTGCATGGTGGCCGAGTGTTTTCCGGCCTGCACTTGGGAATTTAAACAGTGCCTGACTTGACGGTGTCTTTTCTTCCTGAAATCCCGTTTCCTCAGGTATTTTTGGTACTGGCTTTGTGTGTATTAAAATCTGCACTGTTTAGTACCATTCCAGCAGTCTCTCAGAATTCCCAGAGTGTGTAGGTAACAGTGGGATGGAAATGTAATTGTGCTGAAAACACAGGAGCTCTGACAGAGTCTCTAGCAACTCGAACCCACATGAAATAATTCTCTTTAAAATGACAATTCACGTGCATTTCTAACGGAAATCACAAGGAGACGTCAAATGCCGTTTGATTTTTCAGTCTGTTTTTTCTCAGTGAAGCCATCAAGGGTCAGTGTAAAGCCTGTCAGTCTATAGGCAATATTCCATTTTGCCAAAAAAAAAAAAAAAAAAAAAAAAGTAAATCAATTAAAGGGCAGTGAAGTGCAGGTGACATTTGGTCAGTGTTGATGTGCTTTGGAAGAAGTTGGATATAATTTGGAAGTGGCAGGGGTGTAGTACAGTTGTGTTTGTGTATATTTATATGTTTTTATGATAATGCAGCCATTATTTGGGCTCCCAGTTTTTAGAAAAGCAGGTAAATTACTCGGTTTCAGTAAAGCAGGTGCTGTGAGATTAGAGATAACAGTTCTGCATGACTCCGGGCGCACAGTTGCCACTTGTAGGGGAGAACACACCGGCTTCCAAAGCCTCTGGAACTTCTCGGATTGGAAACAGGATATCAACAAATTGTTGGCCTTTGCTACCTGAGCAGTTTATTTGGATATAAGAAAGAAATTTTTCACTCCGAGGGTGGTGAGGCACTGGCACAGGTTGCCCAGAGAAGCTGTGGATGCCCCATCCCTGGAAGTGTTCAAGGCCAGGCTGGATGAAGCTTCGAGCAACCTGGTGTAGTGGAGGGTGTCCCTGCCCATGGCAGAGGGGTTGGAACTGGATTATCTTTGAGGTCCCTTCCAACCCAAACCATTCTGTGATTCTATGATTTAAAAAGTAAAAATAATGCAAGTGTTTTGACACGGTCCCGGCACCTGGGGAAGGCGATGGAAGTGTGTGTGCTGAGAGAAAGGGAGATGGCTGCGTAGTGAGTGTGAAAGATGAAAATAAAAAAGCATAATTGTTTTGGTTGCACTCAGATTTGCTAATGGCTTTAAGTCTTGTGCTTATTCCAGAGAGCTACACATCTAAGAACTCTGAAGATGAAGAATCCACCAAGGAGTCCAAGCGATTGGTTCGAAAACGCCGGCGAAGTACGGATGACTACTCTGAGGAAGAAGGAGAGGATGAGGAAGGCGAAGGGAAGCCTGTCCGCAAACGGCTGAATCGGATCGAAACAGACGACGAAGATAACTGCGAAAACGCTAACGACGCGGTGGAAAACCCCGCTCCTGCCAATAAGCTGCCAGCACCACCAGCTCCTCAAGACACCACCAAGAAGCACTGCTACCGGATAGAAAGCGACGACGAAGATGACTTTGATAACGTGGGGAAAGTAGAGAGCCCTTTGGACTACAGCCTGGTGGACTTGCCATCCACCAACGGACAGAGCCCAGGTAAAACCATTGAGAACTTGATTGGCAAGCCGAGCGAGAAGACCCAGGCCCCCAAGGACAGCACAGCCAGCGCCAGCCTGGCGCCCAACGGGACGGGCAGCGGGCAGGAAGCAGTAGGGCCGGAGGAAGATGAAGATGAACTTTTGAGAGTGACTGACCTTGTTGATTACGTCTGTAACAGTGAACAGTTATAAGACTTCCATTTTTGTGCTAATTTATTCCACGGTAGCTCATACCAGCGGGCCAGTTATTAAAAGCTGTTTTATTTTTCCTAGAAAATTCTCCACTACAGTATCACTTTTTAGAAGCAAGAATTTCACCAGTCCTGCAGTCTTTCTGTGAAGTGACCAGTTTTGAACTTTGAAGATGAATTGCTGTAAATTCCCTTTCTTCCCCCCTCCCCCTTCTCCTTCCAAGTCCATGGTCCTGGGTAATTTCACTCACAAAAACCTTATAACAACAAGAGATTTGTATATTTTTGACTTTATATTTCCTGAGTGCATACAAATTTGTGGAAATGGGTGGCCTAAGAAAGCATTCCAAATCGGTCAGGGCCCAAACCGGAACTGGGGTGGGTTTGGCTCAAGGGGTGGGGAGGGGGGATGCAGAAGCACTTGTGCTTTAGCTTTTTCATATGAGATATATATTATATTTAAATGTTCACAACTTAGATTACAACTTAACAGACAGTTAAAAAAAAAAAAGAAAATTAATGTCTGTACTGTCGCATTTTGTGAGTTGTAGGTTAACATACCATAGCTCATTTTTAGTAATCACCTTCACGGAAGCAGTTTGATTTCAATGCTGGAGGCAAACAGAGTGATTAGAAGCTGAGGAGGTACCATAAACGAGAACTCTACTATCCGTTATGACTTGCAGACTTTCCTAATAAACATCCTTTCGAGTGTTTGTACAGTAAAGTGTACTGTAATGACGTTTTTGACAGCCCGAACACGCTAGCCGTGAGTTTGCATCGCTCCTCAGACGGTCTGCGATGCACGGTGCCTAGTGGGAGGACGGACGGATGGACGGACGCGCAGTTGGTCTGCAAGCTGGATGGCATCTTGACGTGCTGCAGGCTTTCACAGCCAGAGGAACCCTGCCCGGCCCCTCGAGTTCCACCATCCGTTGGAGTATTCGGAGCGAAACGCGTTTGTCCGAAACGGCGCTGACCGCAGCGTGACGGTGCATCAGAGGATTGAGGGATTTTCCAGTAAACCGTGACTGGTCCATTCATGTCCTTAATATCTACTTCAAATTGAAGTAAACAAATGGAACAGTTTTCCTTTTGGAGGTTTTCTGTTTGGGGTTTGTGTGTGGGGTTTGTTTTTTTTTTTTGATTTTACTTATCTGCCTCGATGTATTAGCAGGTTTCGAATGTAGTGTTGGCCTTTGGCCATTAGGATTTTCTTAAAATACGTTTTAATAACTGTCATGTGACCAACTGGTTTCAAGGAGGCAGTGTTTCTGAGGGAAAACGCTTGACTCCGAGACATCCCGTCAACTTTTGAGTGGGCACGAAGTGTTATGTGCTTCGATTCAAGAAAAAAAAATGATTGCACAAAAAAAAACCACCAACCCAAAACATGGGGGCACATAAGAGCGAGCAGAGCTGAAATTTGAAATTTGAAATTTGGTTTTGGGCAGCGTTCAGATTTCTCTTTACTCTGAATTAAGGTGCAGGCTGTAGCGTTTGGCCGCGTCGTTGCACACAGCTCAGACAGATCTGCCAAACACTGAAACCCAGAAAGGTCACAACTATTAACCCTTTTGCTCCGAGACTGGGATTTTTGACTGGTGTTTATGTCCATTGCCGGCAATGGATGCACCAAAAGTGCTGCTGCCACCGAGGAGTGAGTTCTCCTTCCCTGCCCCACCTGACTCCCTCCCACTGTATCGCGTTTGCTAGTCAGTCATTGAGCACTTGTGTTTTCTTGTCATCAAACCGGCGTTAGGCCTTTCCTAAATACCTCTCTAGAAAACCTAGACCCAAAACCACTTACCTTCTGGCCTTGAAAGTCTTGGGTTCATTTCCCAGGGAGTGACGTAAAAGCAGGAAAGACCAGGAAGCAGAATTGGAACATGGAAGCTTACGTCAGGAGCGTCAAGTTTGAAAAATGACAAGCTGTTACCAAATTTTACTGCCTATAGGTCACTTTTCAAAAACAACTTTTCTGTCTTCTAAGAAGTCGCCTTTGGTACCCAAGGCAGCTTCATCCCCCAGGATCCAGAGTTGCCCCTGGGAACAGTGGGAATAGTGTGTGAGTAGAAACTGCTTAAAAAGCCCTAGAAAGTCGTACATTTTCAAACTCGTCACTGCTCTCGTTTCTAAGGCTTCCTGTTTGGTGGAAAATGCAGTCTCCTGTTTGGAAGGATGGCATTTTCTGACGCGAGGCCAGCTGACCGTGCTGCACAGGGTTCGTGCTGTTACAGTATGTCTGTGATTCCAGACTGGAAATGTCCTCCTGGTGTCCTTACAGTCTCCTGCTCTTCTGTGCTCAGCGTGAGATCGGAAGTTAAATGTCTTTAAATCCCGATCTTCAGGAATGGCTTTGGGCTAACAGAAAGCTCAAACCACATGAGAAACAGAGTGAAATCCCTGGCCAGGGATTTCTATAACACCATGGATTTAAAAGTACAAGAACAAGCAGCTGTTGGCTGAACATACAAAGCATTTATCCAACAAGCTCTTGTTCCACACCGGCTGTCACAAAAAGCTTTGCCTTTTTTAACTGCAAACTCTGCAGAGTCTGACTGAGTGGGAAGGACGCCAGTTGGTTTCGATGTGTGGTTTCAGTAGCGTTGGTGAGGGGAAGAACCTGTGAATTGGGTGGAGGAATGGACTTTTTTTGTGTCTCCAGGATAAAGGATGGCTGGTTGTGACTGTCAGCGACGCAGGGCGCAGTAGCTCTGCTCGGTAGTTCGTGAATGTGGCGCCTTAATCCAACCAGGAGGGTGGTGGAATTAAGTTTCACTGCCGTTGCTGTCTTCTAGTTACTGATCTTCTTGATTTAAAAATGGAAAATGACATCACCAAACCACAAAAAACCACCCTTAGTGCTGAAATCTTGTAGGGAGATCAGTGGTGAACAATCAGCTCTTTGATAATTTGACTTCGGACGTGTTGAATCATGTTATAAAATTACTGCAGCTTCCTGATTTTTTTTTTTAAAGAAAAGATTGCTCTCACAGCACTTGAGAGAAACAGAGATGTTTTTTTCCTAAATTGCTCATTTATGAATTAATGTCACCTTCAAGATTTCTTTGGATTAAAGTGTCTCAATTACTCTTCATCTAGCGGGAGCTAACGACTTAGACTTTTCTGTTCGCTTCTGTTTTCCAGTGGCCGTGTCTGAACTCTTGGCCAGAGATTTACTCAAGGAACCTCAAGGGGAAAAAAAAAAAATGTGTGTTCACAAAAGAAAAAATCGTACGGTAGTGGTACACTCGTTCTGATTTGTCTTCATATCTGTCATTTGAGCTACATCAGTGTCCAGGTGCTGCAACTTTGATAACTTTAATCGTTCGCTGTCGGGGTGTCCGTTTTATACCTCTGGTTTCAGGTGCTTATGACTTGGGTTTTGATGCTCTTCAACAGGAAGGCCTGGTCCAAACTTTCAAAGAATCGTTTCAAATGACACGTTTTCCCAAACTTCTTTTCCGCCAAGTAAACGAGGAATTTTTGTGGCACTTGCTTTTTTAATTCACTTTGTACACAGTAGTTTGAATAAACTGTGGCAGTGATGCTGGCCCCCAGAGCTCTCTGGGGAAGAGACTGGTATCACCTGGTTCAAAATGGCAATGTATCGGCCTTGAAAATTGGTCTGGGCACACGTGCAGTGACTAGTCGTCACAGGCTTGCGTGGCGGGTACAACGTGCAGCGCGCACCCTAGAGATGTATTTACATTTGACGTATGCTTCTGGTTCACTTGGGTATAGAAAATCCTGAAATATATAAATATCTGTGTAGAAAAAAGATCAAATATCTTCAACTGAAACTGCAACTTCCTGGAAAAAAAAACGTGTTGAATATGGTGGGAGAAACTCCAGCAATTCATGTGAAAGAGCAGAGTTCTGTAATTTCTGAAATGTTTAAAACTTCTAGGATGGTGTCTGAAATAAGGATTTGCCAGGATCAAGCTCACATTTCCTGGTAGTTTTACTTTTCTTCCTCCCCTTCCCTAGCAGTTGAAGTAGGGACTAGATCTCACTCAAAACGTTTGAAGACAGAAAACAAAAAAAATCCAACAGAAACAATCCTTATTTTTTTTCAGTATACGCTGATGTAAGAAAAATTCTATATGATTAATTTTTGGTGCTTTCAAGTTGGGTACTTGGGCTGAGACCTAGCGGAGACTTTGGCTTCCGAAATCTTTAGGAGTTGAAAATTATTTCCGAAGCTGGACACACAGCAGTTGCGGTGTGGAAGCTCACTAGTCACGTACGAAACCACGCATCGCTCACCGAGCTCTTGTAGATGAGGTGTAACTAACTGAGAGAGTTCCAAACGGCAAAACCGTGTGCTGGGAATTGTTGTCCCAGTGCTTCAGAGGAATTTAACTTATTTTGTATATTGCAGAAGATGTATATTGCTTAGTAAGACACTTTAAAAAAAGAAAAAAAAAAAAAAGATTGTGTACAGCTTCTGGGGGAAAGAATAGAACGCTCTAAAGTAGACAGGAAGTTTTTATAACTGAATATGTGGTGTAAAGGCTCCAGGTTTACCTGCAATTAAAAGGAAATCCTACAACTTGGGGGTTTGACTATCATTTTATAAATGCTGGCGCCCCGCCCCTGAGCTGAGGAGCAGGAGAGGGGACAGTACAGCAGTTAGAGGGGACACGTGCCTCATGAAGGCCCACGTGTCTGCAAAGGAACTGTTGCTACAGAGAACCCCCAAGGTTCCGAAGGAGAAGGGAAGGATGGAGTCGCTCCGTTGGCTCGGTCCGTTTACTTCGTGCACTGCGCAGCACTTTGTGTACAGTCAGTCGCTTTCTCCTGCTGTTTGAAAGCTCT